TATTAGATGCTTATTATACTGTTAAATTAGCTGTTCAATTGGTGCTGACGCTTGGGCTTACCAAGTGAAAGTAAAGATAAGGTTCATGTTGAAATGAACAAAAAGAAGCGCCTTTTGTCAATTCATTTCTTTCTCTTTCCATTTCATTCAACATCGACCTTTGCTCTTTGTATTTGTGCAAATGAAAGATAATGCAATATAAATGGTTGCAAGTGAATCTGTTTAACTTTTCCTTTGATAAATTAACAATTTAAATCAACTTTAAACAAGACTGTTGCACTCATGAATCATCTAGAATTGTATTGTCGTCAAAATCGTCAGTCAAAACAAAATTCAATAGCAAAAGTTTATCTTCATTTGTTCAACCTGCAAAGTCTGAGACCAAAGAAAAGTTTTCCTAAAAAATTGGAAAATTGATGAAATAGAATCTCTCTATTGAAACTTTTGCGAATTTCGCCATTAAATTTTTCAGCAAACTTTTCTTGAACTTTTCAAAGTTGAACCATATTCTATCTTTTATCGAGAAAATTGATCTGATTTCAAATGATTGATAATTTTAGAGTTTTCCCGATCGAAGCATTTCCATTGAGTTTTATGGAACCAAGTCGTGCTCGTTGTCGTTTGGAATAAAGTCAATGACATTTTCCCCATTAAATTGAAGGAAATTAATCTTGAACTGAATCAAATCAGAAAATAGGTTTTGCAAAACAATTAATTGAGTCTTTTGTCGATTCATTGAAGCATACAATTATTTCATCAATAGAAATAGTTTTCTGAATAGCGAAGTTGATGTTTCATAAATAAATCACTTCTAGTTTTCATATTCTCATATCTGTTCAACTTGACAGATTTAATGCTTGGCATTTTATCGTGCAAAGAAATTCGTCAATGATAACTCATTCGTTCCAAAATGCAAATCGAGTGTCTGTTGAATAAACAGATTTTGGGAGTAAAATCATTTGGGTTTCATTCTGTTTGATCAATTACTGATTATTCCCATTCGAAACCCAAACAACAAAACATTCGGTGCATCCTTCGCGATATTCAAACAGCTTGTGATAATAAACATCTTTGAATGTAAAAAGTAAAAAAATTACCAAAGATTATTGCCAGCGATATAAAATGATTTAAAAAGAGGATTATCTCGTTTCACCAACTTTCATCCTTTTCAACAAGAGATTAAAGATTCCTCTTGATGGATCAACAAGGGTAAAACCACTAATCCTAAGACGAGTTTCATTCATTTTAACCGATAAACTTGATCCAACTGCTCTTGTTTGCCTTAAAAAATAAAACAGTTTTCATTACAAAACCATTTACAGTGTTACACAAAAAATAATGTCATTTTGAATGGCGATTGAATAAAGCCAACTGATCATGTTAACGTCAACAAGATTAATATTTTTGTTTTGATGAAAAGCAAAAAAGCAAAGTGAAAAAGTCGAAATATAACAATTTTTGTCTTCAATAATCAACTAACCACTTCTCTGGTAATCAATCATTACCATTGCATTCATGTCAAATTGACACAGTCTATTGAACCATTTGATATACAATAACAAAAATTGAATAGAGCAATGTTGTCTTTTCCATTTCTACCTTTTCGCATCACAAAAAGAGCCATCAATTACAAATGTAATATTAATGCATTGCTGTGTTCATCCAAATCAACCATTTACATGTTTCACTTTGACCAACAATCGACTCTGTTTGAGCCAACGATTAACTAAAAGATTGAAAATATGAAAAGATTAATGCATTTAAATATTGATTGATACATTTGGTCTGACTTAATTTGATTGATTTGCTTTCAAATTACAATTGACTCTAAGCTAGCATGAGATGTGAAGGACAGTGAAAAGTTTATCATTGATTCCGACCAAAGGTAATTATCATTAAATTGAAGTCAATTTGAGTAAACCTTTGAATCTGATTGTTGGCTTTATTTTTGTTTCACTTGAGAGTTGAGCATTTTGCAAGTTTACTTTTTAATTGTCAATAATTATCTTTACTTTGTTTCGCCAATTAAACAAGTTAACAATATTGTTAACTTTACTGGGTTATTTGCATTGATTAGATAACTTTGTTCACCATTAGACTGAGTCAAAGCTACTGATAGTCATCATGTTTTGTGTCTTCCTCTTATCAAGTTCAACTGTTTTCAAGGTTATTTGGTGCCAAGATAGGTAACAATAATTGTACCTGAATGATTAACATGATAAGTGGCGAATTGTGAGGAAAATTTAGTCTGTAATTGTCTTGTAATTAATGCAATTGTGTTCCCGTTTGGTTCACTTTTGAATGTCTAATTAAGATTCACGGGTTAATCAATGTGTAACTTTCACCGCTTCATTGAACAGCAAATTGAAACAATTGCAATTAACTGTAAAGATAAACATTGAATTGGCAAGTCTTTGCGTCTCACTAGATTCACCTTCAACTATCTAGCTTTACAGCCACACAAGCGCGCCTTCCTTTGATAATCTTCCATAATTGCGATTTCATTTTCATCTTTAAAATAAATTGCGTTTCTTACAGCAGAATCGATCTCCAAGAATCTCATTGCATAATTATATTCATTGTTTTTTCACAATCACGATTTGCTGAAATAAGTGAAAGTCTCATAAAAGTATAATGAACTTTACCCAAAAAACGATTGAACTTCTTCGGTCTCTTACCTTTGGGTGAATTTTATGATCCAGCAAATAATCCAATTGTATTCCAACTGTATTTGTATGCTCACGCAAATAACATGATCGATAGCCTTCATATGGACAGCAATTACCGCATCTCTTACCGATTCAACAACTTTACTTTTTTGATGACAATTGAAAATTGAAAAGACAAATGGCAACGACAAAACACGAACCTTCAAAGTAACGCTGAAAAAAATGAAAAGCAAGTTCCTCGATGAGGTTGATCCTTTTCTTGATTTAAGACCTTGTAATCATAAAGTCAATTCGATTCCTACCGAAAACGTCCGATATCAAAAAATAATATTGATATTGTTTGCCAATAAAATATCTCTTGGAAATGACTCAAATCGATAGAAATGATCGAAACTAGTTTTGTCTCAATAAACAAGTACTCGAAGACCTTGAACAGTCTCTTGAATGGGAAAACAACTGACGTTGATTACGTTTTGAAATTAATTTTTGATTTGATTTCGTTTTCTTCTTCCTTTCCCTCTAATCAATTATCATCAATCATGTCAACATTTACCTAAATGTAAAAAATTGTAATTGCTATTGAAATACGCGAGTCTATTAATAAAATGAGAGGCAAAAAGAGTTATTCATTTGATTCACTGGAAAGGAAATATTAATGATGTCCAATTAATCTATCAACAATCAGTTGCCTTTCAACATCACCAATCATGATGATAATCTTAATTATTTTGACATTTAAATAATGATTTACTTTTCTTGTAACATTTTGGCCCTTTTTATCATCATTTTCAACATTTCAGCAAAGGCAATTGATTGAAGTTTCATTAAATGTTGTTCATCGTAAAGGAAAAGATGAGTTAAATTGAGTTGCCATCATTTTGTTCGTAGCACTTCTGTCAGGAAAGAATCAAACTGTTTACAGTTAATATGTTTCTGCATGATTAAGATCAGTTAAATCACTGTTTGCCAACATGATTGATGATTAACCATGGAAAGGATGATACAAAAAGGGAGAGGAAAAGAGAGCAAGAAATGATGATCATGAAGATGATCGACTGAATAATTGTAAATCATGAGAATTATGAAACTGGGCTGGTTCATGATTCAGGGTGTAATAATCTGCAATGAATATGATTAAAAGAAAACATCTTTTCTTCATCAGCATCAACTTGCCTTCATCTCTTTACCTTTAAGTAATCCAAATGTTGTTTTACAAATCAAATCTGTTTGGAAGAAAAAATGAAAATCTTTTCAATTTTCACCATCAATGAATTTCAAGTTGATAATGAACAGAAGCGAAATGTAAACTTGTGAAGATTGACAACATTTTGAAGTAATATTTTGCAAGAAAATATCAAAATTGTGAGCAAATGCATTAAATTCATTGATGATAACCAGAAGCAAAGCGAGCAAAATAACTTGAATATTAAAAGTTACTGCAAGCAATTTCATTGAAAATGCAAAAATTAATTTTAATCAACTTAGCATTTGTCTCATTAACAATTCCTTTTCTTTCGCATAAAATTGAAAGTTTAATGAATAAGATAAGCATTTTAATTATTGATTAACGCAAAAGGCAGCCAATAAATGCAAGTTAATCATTTAGTTTCAACTTTACACTCTACTTAATGATGATTATAATGATTACTTAGTTTACTTAAAAAAAGCGAAGCAAATAAGTTAATAACGAAGTGGCAACAAGAAAAAAAAGAGAAGCAAAAGAAGGCTGAAAAATGTTCAATTCAGGGTAAGATTGATTACAACTAATCAGTCAATTGCATACATTTTATTGGCTTGAGTTGAGTTGAAGCCAACTGAAAGCGTCGAGATGCATTATTTTGAATGGAAACGTCAGTTGGCTAAAGATGAAAATGATGAAGATGATGATGAAAGAGAGGAAGAGAGAGAGAGAGAGAAACTGTCATGATAAATCAAACCATCATCAATTATAAGGTTGACTCCCTTTCTGTTGATAGCTATTTGCTTGCCTTCAAGTGTATTAAAGTGATAAAAAACGGAAAAAGAGAGAGAGAAAAAGATGAAGATAAGACTCCATGGTGAAGAAACACGATGATGATGATGAAGCGGATGAGTTAAAGACAATCTGAATGGTAGCAGCAGGAGTAAAGAGACGATGAAAATGATGAAATGATATGAAACTTTGCTTTTACTTTTCTAATCATCATTTTAGCAACTAATTTTGACAGATATTCAGACTCGAAACTTTTTTTCCCTTCGCCTTCATTTCTCACTTTCCTGAACTTGCAAGGTCATTTTTCATTGCAAAATGAAGCCATAAATATTACCTTATAATTGAGCTTAAATCGCATCTTTCAATATATCAATGTCAACCAATATTTATTAATAATATTATCATTATTGAAAATGATGAGCTTAACCATCATTTTTTATAACATTTTGCTTTCCTCTTCACCATTCATCTTGTTTTGTTGATTTTGTTTCTCCTTTTCCTTTCTTTACTTTTTTTATCGCAATAAAACTCATTTGGAGTTGGTTATTGGGAGTGATTATTCTGGCATCATTTTTCATTCAATTTCAACTTTCGTTGAACATGTTTTCTGGTGAGAGAAAAGGAGAAAAAAAAGTTGGAAAAATTATCAATCTCAGTGTTTCAAGTTAATGATGGTGAAAATCAATTTTCAGGGGAATTAATTTTCAATTAGAGCACCTTAATGTTTCAAATAATCTTAATGGTAAAGATAAATTGAAATTGTTCAATTGATAAATCGCATGGATTTAAAGATTATTTTTGTATAATGTTCAATAATCTCTTTTTTTCCCTCAAAATTTTCTTATATTCAACGTTTGGCTCAATGTAAGTGACAGTCAAGTCGATAAATAAAGCAAACGATCAATTAGGTTTTGATGTTACCTGCCAAAATAAATAGACAAGGTTAAGGTGTGGAGATGTAAAATGATGATAATGATGGTTCCTCTCATCCCATTTCTTTCTTCTCCATGATATTGACGTGCTTTTCCCTCATTATCATCTTCGCATTTTTTACGATCATCATCTAGAAGAAGAGAGAGAAGAGGAAAAATCTAAATCAACACTGATGCAGTTAAAATTAAGGAGCTGTAAGTGAAAAACAAAATTGAGGTTGACATGGAAGAGACCCGCCTTTAAAGCAATCATCATCACCAACTTCATCAACATCATCATACTCATCATTATCAACATTGCCTTCTGTATATTTAGATAAATATAAATATATATATATGTATATATTGTATGAATGTGAATAGATCACTCATCACTCTAAATGTATGGACTATCATTAGTTTCACTCGAAACCATTATTATACGCTTACGCTTTCAACAGCAACCAAAAAAGCATCTCTCATCACTTACTAAGTGTCAGACAGCATCATTTTGTGGTTGATATCCAACAGTGATCAGTCCAAAGAAGAAGAAAGAAGAGCAAAGAAATCATTTTTTTACCTTTTTCCTCTGCATTTATGCTCTTCATTGCCATCATTGTAGGTTTATAACAGTATTTAGCATTAGTTTGAAAACAAAATGATTTTTCAATGCAACTTCACTTTCTGTACCATTTGACATCAAAGTTACTTTCTTGTATGTTAATCATCAAGAATGTCCATTTCAAGGTTTGCTTTAATGGATCACTTTGAAAGCTGGTCAAGTAGAGTAATTCAAATATTTGGTAAAATTTCAATTTAACTTTTCAACCAATTTACATTTTCGTCTATTCAATTTGAAATTCATCTGGCAAATGGGATTTTATTTACAGTCAAGGGCAAAAGTTAATTTTACCTTTTTTTAAATCAATCATTTCCTTACTTTTAACTCAATTCTTGCAAGAAATTTCGGGTTGATATTTCTTTATTTTTTTTTGGACATTTCTTTATTGGCCATCATTTTGTCTTCATTGGTCACAATCTTCATACTTTCCAAAGCGATTCATAATGAATTGATGAAAGTTTCCATATTGAACGAGTTATTAAATATCCATTGAGAGAAAGATAAGTTGCAACAATTTTTATTAACTGCAGCGAACTTGGTGATCTAGCTTTCCCCTCCGATTCAATTGAGTGTTAAGATGAAGCTACTCTACGGCCCAAGAAAAGTGTATGGTTCAATCCAATCAAAGATCGACAAATATTTCTAATTTAGAATTTTAGTAATTTTTATAAACTAGCAATTTACCTCTGCTTGAAAATACCAAAGACTGCAGAATTTAACCTTCTATTGAACAGCGAATTGGAATCAGAAGCATTTATCAACCAAATAGTGGAAAAAGGTTCAAGATTGTATGCTACGTGTTTGTGTGAAACTCGCTTCAACCATTCCAATTCCAACAACTAACATTGCTGAAACCAAACCAGTGAGTTTAATTTTAATCTCCAAATCAACCCATTTTAGCAAACCTGAAATAAGAAAAAAGACTTTTCAGTTGGATAGACAAATACAAACTTAATCTAGAATTAATCGTAATTTAATTTTCAATTCAATTAATAAAAGAAGCAATTAGCTGTTCAAATAAGATGGTAATGAGATGATGAATAATTAAACACTGAATGGTTAAAGTTTAAAGGTGAATCTTCAATCAGTAAGTGGTTTGTTTTATTTTTTTTCCTGTTGATCGATGTTTTCTTGCCTCTTTGTATTATTCATTTTACAAAGCATGTAAACATAGTAACGATGACGATAATCAACTGAAACTACCAGAAAAAAACGTCTGTTCACAGTAGTCAATGAAGAAAGAACAGAAAAAAAGAGAAGAAAAAAGAAGCAAAGTTGCCATCTGAAGACAAGTTTACAGATGAAAATTAAATGAACCAGAATATCTTTATACGATTATCAAGGTAAGATTGATGAGAAACCCTGGAACTTAATAATGATGGATAACTTGTCTCACCTTTGAGCAAAAATTTTCCCTCATTTCTATCTTTACTCCTTAGGCGGTATCAAGTGTATTAAAAAAAAGGGAAGACAAGGGAGGATGATGATGATAAAGAAGCATGCAAAACAAAAATTATGATTGAAAATAAAGTTGAATAAAAATCTTGAAGCATGTCAAAATGTTTCTCTATCTTCACTGAAATCATATCATCTCACTGTTCATGTAAATATACAAAAACATGAAACTTTCATTTCTGCTATTCAATTGTCAACCGATGGTCAAGAGTGAAAATTTTGCCAAAAATTGTTTTCTTTGACTTTATGCTTTTCGTCGTTGACCTTTTCAATGAAAAATCATTTTTAAATTCATTTTCACTTTCAATCTCATTCTGATTCAAGTCGATTTGATACATCTATTGGTATTATTGTGTTTGGTGTTGCTTTTGATTGACTGTTGTTAGTGTTTTGACAATGTTTTTCGGGTAAATTGTTAATTGTTGCTCTACAACTGATTTGTATTGTTGTTGGTGAATTTGTTAGTAATCTTTGTTTTCCTTTAATCATTATTATTGATCGTTTCTCTCCGCTTTTTCTGATGATAATAAACTAATCAATCAATTTCGTTAACAAACAAAAAAGGTTAAAATTGATAATGACAACAAACGTAACAATAATGTTGAAAATAATCAACAATTATTGACGCATGATTGTATCATAATAACAAACTAATGTTAATCAGCCGATCATCTAACTTTTGCTTCTTGTTAAACAGTTAACTAAATGACAATTATTACAACTGTCAGCCGGTTAACTGTCAAATTGTAAACCAATCTCACAAGAGTTTTGTTTATTGTTTACTGTCAATTCATCAAAAGTGAATGTTGAATGAAAATGAAAAATGAGTTACAGAATAAAATTAAATTTGATATTTCAGCCTTCATTTCATCCTGAGCTTTCATTATTATTTGGCCAATTCAGGTAACTCAAAGTGATACTAATGCTGATGCTGATGTGAGGTGAAGTGAAAAAAGATTAAGATGATTAAGCAGAAAAAAAGAAGCTAAAGATTAAAAACAAGACAAGTTAAGGTTGAGGTCAATTAGTTTGAAAAAAAATGTTGGTGTCTAATGTTTCATTAAAATGGCATGTTCGTTTCATCTTTGATTGGTTTCATTTGATTGTTGGCAGACACTGATCAAGGTTGGGACCGTGGTGGAGAATGGATGAGATCAGGAGAAGGTGGAAGATTAAATTGAAAGGAAAAGATGAAGATGGTAATGAATGTGAAAGAAAAAAAGAATCACTTACCTTTCGTTTTTTGTTTACCCATTTTGTAAATGTTGACCTGATAAATTGACAGGAATAGAGGTTAACCACAGGAGGCTATCAAAAATATTGACTTCAACATTAAGATTGGTATTTTGCAACATTAATACAGCTTTTAATTGACAGTCAATTATTCAATTGTGTTAATTAAATCTCAAACAGTCAGAAAGGACCAAAAATTTTACCATTTTGCTTTCACATGTCAACAGTACGAGATTTGACCCTTTTGTATTGGGTTTACTACCATTTTTTCAGTATTTAAAGGATATTTGATGAAGCAGAATTCAAAATGAATGTTAAAAAAATTGATAACTTTTGATATAAACGATTAAATTACAAATAATTTACCATGTTGATTAGTCTAACTTGAGATTCGCTAAAAACAGCAAAAATTTTGTTTGCTGTTGCCTTTGAGCGCCATCTGTTGGTGGGTTGATTTATGAAAATTGTGAATTACTTTTGAAGTTACATTTTGTATGCTAATTCTGTTTACATTGCAATTTAAATTGTATTTATTTATGTGTCTATTTACTTGTTTAAACTTTATCCAGTCTCGAATGCTATCAAATTGTATTCAATTCTATTGTTATTATTTTGTTATGTTATTGAATTACTTGAAAGTTTATTTGGATGAATGTTTCAACCGTTTGGTTTTTTGTTTTACAATCGTCTGAAAGTGATCGTCTGTGTTGTTACTTAAGCTTAATTCATCTGAGTTATCTTTATTAATTAATTTTCTCGTGTTCATTTATCAACAGTTTTCAAATGCTGTAATTGATTGACATTGAATCAGCCTGTGTTATTAATCTAGTCGACGTTAAACAATTGTACATCTATCTGGGAAAATTATTTATTGTGGATTTGTGGTTTCTCGTTTGGCTGTTTTGTTGACTGGCGCCATTTATGTTTTCCCTTTTATACGATTGCTGTACATTGACTGAAAATCAATTGTAAGGTGTTCAACCCTTTTCTGCCTTAACATTAATTTTGATCGACTGTCAACTTGTATACCGGGTTTATTAAACTCTTACGAGATAACTGTTAGTGAATTTCAAAAGTGTGGTTAACAATTGTTAAGAGTCATCTTGGAGATGGTAACTAAAAATGTAAGTGAAAAATGCTTATTAATGTCGATGTTGATGCTGCTTCAACTTGTCAGTTTCACTGTTTAAGGAGTGGTCCCTAAAAAATTGGACTAACTTTGATTGCAAATAATTTGAAAAGTATTCAATATTTTGGATTGGAATTTAATACATCTATTTATTGAGGACAGATAATGCTCCTTGTTTATGGGCTTTCCATAATTTTGAATGGGTCGACCGAAAAAGCCGCTCAAAGTATGAGTCGTCAAAATCTTTTAGTTTATTCATTACTCGGCGTCTCAATTGGTCAAAATTGTCGGCTTTCCAACCAGATTGGTAAACTTTGTCCTTCAAATGATCCCAAAACTTTTCAATCGCTCTAAGCTGAGGTACATTGGGTGGATTGTCCTCTTTAGCTACATAATTGACATTGAGTTCGTCAAGTTTTGCAACAGTTTTTCTTGCATAATGAGCTGAAGCTCCATCAGGCCAAAAAATGTAATCATTTTGAGGGTATTTGGATTGCAAGTAAGGTAACAAACGTTTTTCAATGCAATTTTTGACATAAAGGTCAGAATTGAGCGCACATTTAGCGGGAATGAAATAGGGGGCGCTTTTACCTTTCGAACTTACCGCTATCCAAATGCAAAGTTTAGGTTCAAATTTTGACTTTTTATGAAATTTAATGTGATCTGGTGTATTGATTGACGATGAAGCATAATAACCTGAACCTTGACTACGATCTAATGGAAAATAACTTTCATCATCTTCAACAATATCTTTATTTGCACTTTTTTTGAAATCACCTTTGAGCATCTTTCTTATTCGAATTTTTTGTCTCTTTTCTTGAGCTGGGGTTGATTTTGGAGCTTGAATAGTCCGATGATAACTGATGTTGGCCTTTTTCATCAATCTTTGAACATGAGTTTTTGAAATATCAAATTTTTTGGCAATATATCTCTGAGATTCTGTACAGTTTTAACTAAATTTCACGAATTTTTTTAGTTTTCCTTGGGTCATTTTAGTTGGTTTCCGACCTGAACCTGATTTCCTTTCACTTGAAATACCGTCATTGGTCTGTTTAACAATGTTATATACAGTTGATCTCGAAAATTCAAGTTTCTGAAAGTAATTATAAACATCACTTGGTCGAAGGTTTGGGTTAGATTTGACGAACTGAACTATTAAATTACGCTTATCACTCAATTTAAGACACATTTTACTGATTAATTTAATGTTTTGATAGATAAAAATTATATATTTGAAAAGTGCATTAAATTTCCGTTAATTTAAGCCATAGAATCCTTTGATTGAAAATATTTAACATTGTTAAAATTTGGTTCAAAGTTAGTCCAATTTTTTAGGGACCACTCCTTACAATGCCATCATCGCCTGATGAGAGACTGTAGTTTTGTTGATTACGTTATTGTTAAGAACAGTTTTGTTGTTTTCTATTATTATACTTTTTTGTAGAATGGAAATTGTAAAAGTGATCCTTATCATCATTTTTGGTATTGACTCGTCAAAAGAGAGTTAAATGGAAAATGCAGTGTAGAAAAAGAAGGAAGAAAAAAGAGAAAGGAAAAAATGGCTGACATTTTTATCTTGACAATTTTGACTTATTTCTGTGTTTGATCTTTTTTGTGTATTTGTGTGCCTATGAGTCTTGCTCAGGTTAAATGCTGACAACATCAACATCAACATTTGATGCATTCACAATTGTTCTTTTTGTTGTATTATCTTGTTTAACTTTCTTTTTTCTCACTTTCTCTTTCTTCTAGTGTCTACAATACCTGTCTTTTCACCAGCAGCCATTCATAATGTGCGAATTGTTGACAAGAAACTGTCGATTTCATGATGGATCGTTTTGCTAACATAGTTGGATCACAATTCTCAAAATCAACAACAACAACAACAGCAACTGTATTTCAAAAGCAACGACGCAGGCAAAGGAAAACCAACACCATCATCAATTGACTTGAACTCCAATTGAACGATGAAAAATAAATAGCTCAAAGATCTGAGAGTTGCTGAGAGAGGCAAAGGAGAGATAGAGGTAGAAAGAATGGTGAAAAACAAAGAAGGATAAATAAGAAAAGAAATGAGTAGATTGATGAAAATAAAGAAAGAGGAGTAACACTGTTGGGTGTTCCCAATAAGCAAGTTAAAAATTGCTGTTTATTTGTCATTTCTCACTCTTTCTTTCTTGTCCACCCCATCATTCTTGTCTTCCTTTTTTTGTCTCTTGTCGGCGTTTCAAGTAATTTTGACAAGACTGCATTGTCAAGAGTCCTTCTCTATTCCATCTCTCTTCTCTCTCTCATCCTCCTTCGTCTTTAACTTCAACATTTTACAAATATGACAAGCTGTCATAAAGTCATTGCATATTAACCTCAAAGTCTTAATGAGAGTCAAGGTGAGAAAAGAAAGTCTACAATAAAAAAAGGTCAGTTATCTCGAAAGTATTTTAGTAATAACAAGGTTTTTTTTCATTTACCCCCTCACAGGATCACAGCTTATGTTGATGTTACGGCTAAATGAATAACTCAAGTGAAAATATGATGGACGATTTTTTTGGTGACCCAATGATATTGATGATGACAATGACAATGACAGAGATGACTTTTTTGTCTTGTTGAAAAGCAAACTAAAAAATGTCCATGCAACCTTTGTAATACTCATGGACTGTAAGTTGTCAATTTTCAGTCACTAAATAATAATGATGATATTCTGATCTCATCATAATTAACTATTCTTTTCTCTCTTTCTCTCTGTGTCTCTCTTTTTACTCTCCTAGTTTCTTTCCTTTGCATTCATATGTCTTTTTACAAAAAGTGTTTGACAGTTGAAGGAAAAAAAACTGTCATCAACATGACAACATTAGAAACAAATTTGGTGCAAAAAGTCACTTTTAAACAGTTGCACAGATGATGCTAATGATAATTTTAATGGTAATTTAATGATAACTTGGATAACATTTTGCTCACATATTCCTATTTTAGAATCATCATTTTCCAAACGAGTTATTTCAATAACAATTTCAGTAACAATTCCAACAGTGATACAAAGTGAAAAGAAAGAGAGAGAGAACCGCAGCTTGAAATGATTTTAATTGTCAACAGAATACAGCCATTAATCTAACAGAATGATTGATTGGTGATTATTTTTTTTTCTTTTTCTCTCCTCTTTCCTTTCCATATAAGTTTTCAGCCACTTGGCAAATTACTCATCATGAATAACCACGATTTCCTAGTAACACATCCTCTGTAAAGCCTGTATAAAAACCTCAACGAAAGAAAAAAAAATCATTTGATGTTTCTAACAAAATCACCATGATTTTATGGTGTTCGTGATGAGACTACAAGAAAAAGGGAAGATGAAGAGCCAATGCAACTCCAATCAAGCTGTCGGATAAGTCTAACAAACAATTCAACAATGGACACTGGACATTCAAAACTCTAAAAAAGGACAATAGGAGAATGCTCGATGGTCAGTGATTTTGAAAAAAGGCAAGATTGTGATTTGCGACTCCAAACTCCAAAGTATCCAGGAAATGTCCAAACTTAAGGAAAGCGAATAAAGGGGATTCAATGAAGCTTGTAATATATTGTCACCCAAAGCAGATATTCCCATAAAAACTTGGCGGAAAACTGGATTATTGAGTTGCTTGATAAGAGAGAAGAAGAGAGAGAGAGAGAGAGAAAAGTTTTGCTTCTTACAAAATTGCTGTTAAAGCATCATCACTGTGCATCATCTTTTGCCAATTTATTTTCAATTTACAAGTTAACAAGTGCTAAGCTCATTCAATATACAGCTCATTTTTTTAATCAGTTAAACATGAGCTTCAAGTGTTTACTGGTTAATTTTCATGATAACAAGCAATTTACCCTGTTGAAAGAAGTTAACCATTGATGCGTGAGCTGTGTGTGTGTGTGTGTGTGCATGTGCATATGAATATGTGTGAGTCTTTAATGAAAGCGCGTTTGAATGATGAACTCGCCCTTTTTTTGCTGTTGCATTTTTGGTTTTACATTTTTACTGACTTATTTAAAAAGGATAGTTCGTGTGTATGTGTGTGAATCTCCCAAAACTATGAGTAACAATCAAAAACAACAACAGCCCAGTACGATCTGTTGTAAAGAGAGAGGAGAGAGAAATGGTTGTTTGATTGTGTAATAAATTTCATGTTTAACAGATTAATGGAGCGTAGTTCCATAATGGGTTTGCCAGTTAGCTTAAGAAAATATCATGGCAAAAGAGGCAAGGGATGAGAAGAAGAAGAATTTTCTCCACTCAATGATTCTTTTTTGTTTCTGTTGTTTGCTGATTTCCAAAATTTCATCGCCATCACAAGGAGTAACATCACCAATATCATCAATAATCTTGAATTCACCACTATCAACTTGATCATTTTCATCACCATCACCACCAAGATGGTGATGAAAATTTTCATTCCCATGATTATCATCTTTTGGCAACAAATTTTTCTCAAGTGGTGATGTTGATAAATCTGAAAGATGAAGAGTTATGATTGTTGATACTCTGTGAGGATCAATTGCTCGTTTGGTTAATTTAACAATTTTAATTTTTAAGTATTGATCCATCATTCAGTAAGCAGGCTTAACTTTATTTTTCTTCATCTTTCCTCTCTTTTTTATACATATATTTATGTGCATATGCTTATATTTTAAAAAATATTTATATTTATTATCATCATTAACTATACATATTTATTATCGTCTATTCACCTCACAACAGTCTAATGATAATCACGGTAGTTAATAATGGCAATAATAAATATAATTTATTAGCCATGAATCAACCTGATCTTCATTTAATTGTTACTTTTTTTCACTTATAAATATACATATACAGGGTGTATCAGTCAAATAGCCGGTTTTGAATCGCTAATAACTTTTTCGTCCTTTGCTCGAATTCGAAATTTTTTGCAAATCCATATTGTCAATGAGTCAAAGTTTTGTTTTTGGTAACTTTCAAAGAGGATAAATGAGTCTACAGGGTGCAACACTGCCTCAAAGTCAAAAAAGTTTATTTTCAATGAAGGCTTCGTATATCGACTTCGAGTCATAGCTCGTGAGTGAAAGGACGCAGAATATTTTAGAAGATATCATCCGAATCATAAATTTTGACTAATTAACTATAAGGATTTGAAAAAAATTTTAAATTCGAGCAAAGGACGAAAAAGTTATTAGCGATTCAAAACCGGCTATTTGACTGATACACCCAGTATATATTTATATTTATATTACATCCAATATATTAAAAAAAAGCAAATGATAATGAGCCTCATCAAATTAATTACAATATCTTTCATCCTAAAGCTGATTATAAACCATTTGCTTGTTGAGGCTAACATTTATAAACTGTAGAACCTCTCATAATATACTTTAACTTCGATATATTTATATATATATTAATTTGATAGCAAAAGTTAACCTTATTCATTCCTATTAGTTTATTATTCTGCTTATTATTATATACATGATAAAATTTTCATCATCATTCACAAATCTTATGTGAAGGTTAACATCTTACCTTTTTTTTAAACTACAAAGTTGCTTTTATTAAACCAACAAATCAAAAGAGCAAAACTAGCAAAAAGCTGCGTCAAAAGAAAAGGATGAAAATGATGATTTATTTATTGTTGTAATAACCATAATAATAATGATGATAATAATTTCATTTCTTTTTTTCCCTCATTTCTAGGATTTACATCTTTTTTGGTGAGAAATGCAAATTACAATAAAGTAATTTGTTTAACTCAATTGTACAATTGCCAGTCAACATACAATGAATTTTTCACCTTGTAATCTAGTTGGATTACATGGGAACATTGAGCCTGACTTTGCTGCTGCTGCTCGGTAACCGAACAAGAAGCTAAAAAATACTCGAACAGACCATGAACCTGAACATTTGGCAAGTTGACGAGCCAGTTGGAAGGGAATAAAGATTCTGATGAAACTCAAAGATTTGGATTATTGGAAGTTTTTAAAGCAAAGAAGTTTAAAGCCAGCAGTTGCGAGTTTTGATGATCGGAGTAAATGAACTTCGATTGATTCTATGGATTGGATTGTATCAAATTAACCATTAAATACAGTCGATGAGTGCTGTGACAGGCTTTCATTGGCAAACCTTTGCATTGGAAGCTTTTGGTCAACTTGGATGATTCAATTTCTTAGGGAAAACTTGAGTTTCCATTTTTCAATTACCAATCTTGAAAGTGTTACCTTGAGCCTTGTAAAAGGGCAACACTTTGCTCAGTTTAATCACACAATTTCCGGGTTCCTCCGGTAATCCGTTATGCAAATGGTTCGACCCTCTGAAAATTGCGATGAAATATAGACTTAAGTAGTTTAATAGTTAATGTTAATAACAATAATAATAATAATAAGCTAAATCAAAGTTGAGTTTCACATGAATCAAAAACGTGATTTAAATGTTAATCATGTTAATGTGTTCACGTAGTCCAAGCTTTGTTTTATGAATCTTTCTTTTTTTTGTTTTACCTTCTTTGCCATTCTGTGTGTCTACTTGTGTGCACAAATGGCACAAGAAAAAGGTAATGAAGATGATGATGATAAAGAGTAGGAGGTGAAGGAGGAGGAGGTTGACTTGAAAAAGAGGAGTCAATCGGAGTGTTCAACTTGATGTTTAAATAAACATGATGAGGGAACCTTGAAAATTGAAGAGCCAACAACTTTGTTATTACATTAACATTTTAATGTTGCTTATTATTTGTGTGTGTGTGTTGTTTTTGCTGTTGTAAGCAAGGCAACTTATTCATCATGAACAGGTAAACAAAAGACAAATAATAATGATAAAAAGATAGATAACCGTTTCCATGTTGATTTATTATCATTTTGGGAAAGGTAAAAATTTAATATTTTTTTCTCTTTTCTTTTTCTTCTCCTTTACAGGCCAACAGGGAAACAATTCAATTAACATGGTTTAGTATCAACTTTTGGTAATTAGATTAACATGTAAACAATTAACTGTTAACTTGATGAGACTATGATTATGTGTGAGCCAAAAAGATGTTTAAAGATGCAAATCTCGCAAGAATCTTTTTCTCTTCCCTTAATCACGGCCATTTTCACGCCATCATTATTTGCTTGACTAAGTTGACTGTGAATTAAATTTTTACCTTTCAATTTTTGCCTGCACAGGTTCCCCAGAAAACATGGTTAATCGAGTTATTTGCATTATTGTGACAAGAAACAACACTTGGACTCAAACTTATTGGTTACAATGGGAATCACTTTGGCCTCAAGTGGAGTCTCGTATAGTTAGGAGTTGAAATTTGGCAAATTTGGAGTTAATTTGAGATCGCTTCCACATTCACTTGATTTGATAATTTTAGCTTTTGTAATTTGGATCATTTCTGGACGGATAATTGCACGATAAATCAAAGTTTTCATTGAATACTTTATTAGTCGATCATCAGACGGGAAAATAATTATCATTATGTGATCAATAATTATACAGAAAATTATCTCTTCTCCTCTTATTAAGAGATAATATCTTTTGTGTGACACATTAAAATCAATATGAGACATCATCAACATCATATCATAATCATTATAAGCATAAGCATAATCATCATTATAATAAATAATGAAAAAGTGAAAGTAAATGTAATATGAGTTATTGACTAAATCATGGACAGTAATGTGATATTTAAAGTTGAATATCATTTTACTTTAATGTATATCTGCTAATTTACACGATGAAAAAACCGCATTCAACATTATCCATGATTTATTCCAGGTAATATACAAACTTCAATTAATAGACTCATAGACAACAAAAACAGAAAGATAACTCTTCCAACTAGTCAATTGAGCCAGTAATCATGGACAATTAATCAAACTGCTAATATCAATTGGGCAACAATAAATGCCATCGGTTGACTATAAAAATTTTATCATTTAACGCTATTGTAATTATTAAATTGGGACTGAAAAGATGACACAAAATGTTAATTAAAATAAGTTTATTAACATGCAACATCTCGAGTTAGATCAATGAGAGTTTTAAAAGTAAAAGCTTCTACAAGAACTACAAATTTTACAATCAAGAGTTTTCATTGGAATATGAAATTTTCATTTGAAAAAACCAAATTTTCTATCTAAAATGTAATACTCAATGTTGATTTAGTAAATGGTAAAAAACGGAAAATGCAGAACGTTTCAGATCAAAAATAATTCCGATTCGGATAATGATTTCAATGATAATCTTAATGTGGGAAACCTGAACTTAAACGTAAGAGATTAATTTCAAGTGTTTTGCATATGAACTCTTGACAGACTGGGAAAACAATTACTCGTGCTTTTCCAGCATCAAAGTCAACTGAAAACATTGTGATATCTGGATGTCCACCATCGAGTTGAGATGAAATTTTCTTTTCGCTTGAAAACCGAAGAAGCTGGTCTTTATAATAAACCAATTTTTGGTCGATTTATATTTTTAAAATTATGAATCAACTTTTACCAAAAGTAAAATTTTTTATTTTAAGATCAAAACCCAAACCAATCTAAAGCTAACGAGTAGATTGTTTCTGGAGTTAAACCAATGCAAGACTTAATATTTTTCCAACGATTCAGGATTATCTGATGAGAGAAAAAACAATGTAACTTTTCGTAACTTTCAAGATTTCTTGATCATTGAATTTCCATGCCAGACATTGGAATATGCAGTCGATTTGTTCATTTTTAAATTTGCATTTTCTCACAAAAGGTTGTGTTTAAGAAAAGATGAAAAGATTTTGCAGATCAACTTGAATCAATTTGTTTCCTTGCTCAGTAATAATGCAAAATGGGCCGTTGATAGGCATGAAACTGAAAGCCCAAAGTTAACCATTTAAAGCAATCAATTGAACAATTTAACTCTAATAATATATCATTTGTTAAGCAATCAACAGCTTTAACCAGATTTAGTGGTCAGTGAGTAAACATGTCTGTGCCAAAAGTAATGTAATTTATTACCTTTGTTGAAGTGAAAAAGAAATGGGTAAACAAAAGTTGCATGGAAAAGTTGTAGCAACTCATTAATCTTAATTTCAATTGAACATGAAGATGCATATAATATAAAAATAATTGGCACCCAGAATAACTATCAAGATAAATATATTATCAATCTTATCAATATGATGATGGTTATGATGTTAATAAGCGCAAAACTGAAATAACCATTTATCATCATAAGTAATAATAATAACTAATAATTCTTTGGGCAACATTTCCTGTTTCCTTTCAATCTCCTAGATAAATACATAATAATAATAATAAAAAGCGTTTCTGTTTCATGTTGTTATTTTTTGTACCATTGCTTTCCCTGGATCCATCTTTAAGACTTAATTGTGTATGAATCACATAAACACAAAATTACGAGGCTGTTTGGATTGGAAGACTTAGGAAGAGCCAGAGAGAAGGAATAATGATGATAATAATGTTCCATTTAAAAAGGCACCAAATATTGAGATTTATGAGTTTCTTTTCATTCCTCCTTTCCTTCAAGATTATTCAAATTTGCCAGTTCCAACCTCAATTTGTCTAACACCATTTTTAAGGTTATGGCAGCTTATACAATTTACAGGCATCTTTGTTGGACCCATCCTTTAACTTGGCTAATCTTGTGTCCATGTTGCTGTTTGTTGTGTCAATGTTTAAGTTAATCAATAATGATTAACATTAATCAATTAGTCAATGGCCAAAAATGAATAATTACCATTGAAATGGAATCACACTTTTAACGATTCGAGCAAAAAAAAGCTGTTTCCAGGTTTCAATTTAAATTGATGATTTGTAGAGTTGATCGGCAACATAACCATAATCATCATCATTATTGCCATTATTAATTGTTTTACATTACGCTGATTACTTTAAATAGTAATATGTTTGATTAAAATGTAATAATTAACTTTTTTTCTCTTCTTCTGACAACTTAAAGTTTACTTTTTTTACACTGGCTGGCATATTTTTAATTATTGCATTAAACAATAATTTATATTGATTCATGATGATGAGGGTGACGGTGATTATCATGGTAATCATTTGCATACAAATAAAATTGTTTTCACTGTTATGCTTTTGATTAATTTTGATGTTGATAATTATCACTTTTCATCTGAACAGGGCTTGTCATCAACTTTGAATCGCTAATCGTTGGTTGACTATTAGTTAAACTGGCTAAATGACTTTTTCTGTTCTCCATGTTTCTGTTGTGATCAAGATAAGATTAAAAATTATTCACAATCCAATGAATCATATTGAATGGTTTACCAACCATTGATAGGGAAAACGTTGTTGCCGTTGCAGTTTAACAATTATCATTTCCATTATCGTTATTTTTGTCTGGAAAAATCAGTGTTGAGAGGGGCGAGGTTGGAACACTTTTTGACTTTGCACTTTTCTTTCCTTTCCATCCTTCAAGTCATAAGTTTTACTCTATGGGTTAGAGTTCAAGGTGCTTGGTAAAAATGTTTATACTGGTGATGATCATGATTATTTTTTATGGTGATGATGATGACAAACAGTAACAGCAAGCCAGATGAAAGAGTAGCTAAATTAAAAAGTTATGACAACCCAAAAGTAGATGACTTATTAAGGTATCAGGTAATTGTTTCTAGCTCCTGTGTAATTAGAGGCTTTAAACGATACAATGAATTAACGAAGCGCTGAGTAATTGTAACCAAAAGAAATGACTGGTTATAACTTGAAAATGAACAGCATATAATGAAATGGTGAGTGATAAATTTACCAAGTCATGGTAGCTTTCCTCTTTGCTTCTGTATTAAGAGAGAGAGAGAGAGAGAGAGAGAGCAGAAAAAAGAAAAAAAATGAGAAAAAAAAATTATCAAGTCAAGCTGAAAATGTAATTAAAAAAATGTTACCCTTAAAGTGAAACTAGAAAGTGATAAACTGACATAATGACGAGAAGATCAGAAGTCCTAGTGATTATTTATTTCTAACAACATCCGGTAACCTGAAAGGCGAAACAGAGAGAAGAAAAAATAATAAATAAAATGATAAAAAAATGTATGAATTAAGGAGCGGGAAGATTATTATGATGATGCAGATGATGGTGAGGAGGAGGAAAAGGGAAGAAGAGAAAGGATTTTCACGGATAATCAAAATGAGTTTACTCATGGTAAAAGGCAATGAAAAACAAGTCAAAATAATCATTAATCAACGGCAAAATTTATGGAATCCAGAGAAACTCTTTTCTTCTCTCGTCTGCTTTTTTCTTCCATTCTCTCTGGGCTTTCCATTCTTTCTTTTTTTCACTTAAGCCTTCTCTTTACCCTGCAAAAGAGAGTGGAAGGGGTAAAAGGTTAATGAGGTAGTTAACACTTGATGAGCAGGGTAGAAGCCGGTGTAACATATAATTGCATTCAAGATTGATGAAAGAGTTGAGGAGATGGTAAAGAGAGATTGCATGTCAAATTAACAGCAGCTTGATATGTTTAAACAAAATTAAAAGATCATGATAATGATTAAAATGGACGAAGAATCTGTTAATAGCAAAATGACCAAGAGGTAGGGAGAGAAGGACAGAGAAAAAAGAGATAAATGAAAAAAAAATGTTTGGTAAAAATGGTTGACTTTGTTAATGATCACTTCAAGTGATTCACTTGAGCTCAAGTCTCATGACGATGGCGAATATAACGAGAACCGAAATAGAAACTCAAAGATAATGGCTGTAAACACGAACTGTTAATGAGGAATTAACAAATTGGATAGAGAAAAATAAACAATCAAAGGAAATTAAATTAAAAACAAGACATTTTCCAGTCATGATGTATTCAGCTGATTTTGTTGTACCCGTTACCATGGTTACATATATAAGCGTCGTCAGGTTCTTCTCCCTTCTTGTTGCTAGTCTTGCATCAAGTGTTTTATGCCTTTCTTTTGAAACATACTTTTGTTTTTGTTGTTTCTTGTTGCAACTATTTTTGCTTAATCGTGTATAATCAATATTCAGTTTTACTAAATTTGTGTTTAATTGACAGTCAATCAGATACGGGTTACTTGTCGGTGTCAATTTAAATTTGTTGGTATTGAGTTAATCAACATCACCATCAACACAACCAACGTCAACACTTTGCCCATTCAAACAAGAAAACAAGTTTTTCTCTTCTCTCTTTTTTCCCTTTCTTTTGGATCTTTTTCAAAAATATTTAGGTAGCCATTTTAACCTCATTTTCGGGTTTTCTCAACCTACATTTTTTGCTATTACCTCTCAACTAATCGTTGATTTTGTTAATTTTTCTTCTCCTCTGGTTATTTGTTTTTACCAGTTTTTAACCAGAAACTTGTGGCAATCTACCTCTCATCACAAACATGGAAGGAATCGTTATTGGTGCAATCATTGTCGGTGTTTTACTCATTGTTGGCGGTCTTGTTTGCTGTATCTTGAAGTGTATTTGGGATATAGCTTGTTGTACCTGTAAATGCATAACCTGTGGTCAATGTGGTGATTAGAAGACTTGGAGATCTATCTTTGTTAACATTTGATCGCTTGTTTTATTTTTTAATTAATCTTTTATCTTTTCCCTACAAAGCTTGTTTGGTAAGCTTTTTAGGCCCAAAAATATCATGTCCACCTATTCAAAAAAACCAAAACAATCAGTGATTCACAAACCAAAGGATAATCATCATACTCCAAAATTTTACCTCATTTTCAATGATATGTAATTTCATCTTTTAGTTTCTAGAATTATTTTTAACTTTACCATTTTTTCGACTTTTACAGTCCTTAAAAGACTTGGAATGATTATTTCCTTTGAATCAATGATTTTTACCTTTGCAAACCTTTTTACACTCTTTTAACATGTCATGCACAATTCCTTTTTACGCAATTGTCCTCTACTTTCCTATTATACACAAATAACATCGAGTTCCGATCCGAAATGCCAAAAATGGAAAAAGTTCCTTGGTCATCGATGCCTTAAGACTTTTAATATTATTACCAATAAACAAGAAATGCCTTATTAATAAATAAACAAAAATGACTCAAAGTTTCCTTTCATTAATCAAGATTGCCTAGAAAAAACAAAGAAAAAATAGGGTTAGAACGAAAATAGAAATAAAAAGCAATAAAAAGTCACGGCTTTTATGCCTATTGTAAAGATAAATTGATTGCTTACCTAACAAGAAATCACAATCCAGCCGAAGAGTAAACGATCAATTTGATTAGCAATTTGTAAAATAAATAAACTTGCCTCGGAACTAATCAAATCATTAACTAATAAAGTGTTCTTCCAATGATTAAACAATCTAGATTAAACATGAGTTGAAGGTTGAGCAAGTCTAACACACAAACGGCAAAACCAAGCAGTCAGTAATTGAACATAATTACAGTTGATATAATAATTCAATGTCATCCATAGTTAGTGAAATTGTATAAATTTCAATACATATACATGAAAATAACGTTAACAGCTAAAAACAAAATTAAAGTTACATGAATTCAGCGATAAAACGAAACATGAAAACCAGAATAATAAAGCAAAAAAAAAATTATCCTTCAACTGTTAGTCTAACTGCTTCCAAGGTAACCAACAAGCAACTTTATTTATAATTTAAAATAGTCAATAGATGGCGTTGACCAAAAAAACCAACAAGAAAAGTGAAAAATCGTGAAAATTTAAATACCAATTAAGTATTGAATGAAAGTTAAATTAAAGGTAAAACAACTGAAAGATAAATGATGATTAAATATGTCTAGATGAGCAAAGATGAACATTGGCACTCCCTGTCATCCTTTTGAAAACGATTTGATTTATTGGGCAAAGATTAACATAATATTAAATGTTAAACCTCTTTTTGAAGCAATAAATTTCAAGTTTAATAATAAACTTTACATTGAAAAGTTGGCTTGTTAATTTTACTCTCTGATTGTATCAAAAGTAAACATCATCATTATAATCATTATAATCATCATCGCCATCAACAGGCCTTCATTCAACTTTAATAATGTTTAATCATTAAATTTAAAGAGGAACCAACAAGATTGGGGAAGCAAATTGCGAATTGAAATTAGGCTGACAGTGAAAGTTAATATTTGAACGTGTTTAAACATGATTTTTGCCAATCTCTTGAATGATCTGGAAAACAAGGTTTAATAATGTAAAATAGTATGAAATTAATTGATGGCGAAAGTTGATTATTTATTAGTTAACGCAATGGTTCAAGTTGAAACGCTAATGAATTGTAAACCTTGAGTTGATGGAAACAAGATTAGACTTACATTGTAAATGAATGGCGTGTTTTGAATCAGTTTCAATCTACTTCAACCTAACAGTTTAAGAATCTTGTTTTATGCAAATAAGCACAAGGTTAATGGTATTGCTAATGATGAGTGAAAAGTACTCGAGATAATTAAAGTTGAAACTCGATAATCAATAATCGATTGACAAAATAAGGTTCCGTTCATTTCAACCAATTTTGTCAATCTTTATCAAACTTGTTGACAGGTTTCACTTCAAGTTTAACCGATTCAATGTTGATCATTGGGTTGCTTTGCATTATTATTGTGACAAGAAAAATTGATATTAAAAAGGATTCTTTTGACTCTTCAAATCTTTGTCATATTACAGTTAATCCACATTGAAAAGGGTCTTAATAATGAAAAATAATCATCAAAACCGAAAAATGAAATTCTTAGTTTTTGTCATTGGGATTCATGTCAGACTGAAACTAAAGCTTGAAATGATCTTTAATTGTTAATACTCAGTTTTGATGACCAGAAAATCGGACTTGAAATTTCTCGATAACTTTGGCTTTCTCGATGATAAGGATTAGGATATTTGTTTTCATCGTTACTTTGATAAACTGTAAAACAAATGTAACAGATGTGCTGTTAATGTGCAGCAATTTAATTGCTTTGATAAAAAGGTTGATTTGATGTTAATGTTCACTTATGCTTATCCTGACAAAGCTTGAGTCCAAGTTTAACTCCCAGGATTTGTTGGATTAAATTTTATCGACTAAATCATCGGATTATTTTGCATTATTATTGTGACAACAAATTGGTTAAATGCGTCACACTGCTGATTGTATTGAGTAAAGGTGATTCCATCTCAATATCACCTTTTCAATCACAAGGAATCTGTTCAAAACAAATGTTTGTCTCAAACCCAAAGACGTCAATAAAAGCTGTTGATTGTAAATTCACAAACTCACAATTAAACAAACTAATTAACGAAGATGTTAAATGCTTTGTTTCCTATGACTGAAGTGTGATGGTAATGATAAAGATATCACAAGTTTACAGTTCAAGTTGACTGGGAAAGTATGCCTTGTTGAGGCCCAACCTCAACCTAAAGAGCCTCACCTTTCAGCATTAACTTTATCTTCCCTTTGCACGTTACTCGGAATAAATTGTCATTGAATCTTGTCATTCATCTTCTAAGAAATTGTAACAACAGCAAACTAAATCATTTTTTTTTCTCTTTCATACAATTAGACAATTATCATCACCAGCAAAGTGAAATTGTCATCTTTGATAATTCAAGTTGACAGAAATGTTTGACAACAGCAACAGATCAAGAAAAAGATGGCGATAAAAATCTTTTCAAAGGTTAACCATTTGCATTAAATTTTCCAGTCATGATAATGTGACACTTTAAAATCGCCATCCCAGGTATAATTATGATGATGAATGTAATGATATGTTTTCATCCTGAGGTTATTCAGACAAATCTTTAAAATGAAACGTTTCCCGAAAAGGCAACATTAACTTATACAATTGGAAAGAAGAAGAGGAAAACATTTTTTCTTTGAATTGAAACAAAATGTTTTAATTTATACCTTTGATTCCCTCCTCTCTTCAGGTAACCCAAGACCGTGAAGGTGTCACCATAAATACGCAAAGATAAAGACAATCATCATTTTACCTTTGTCACATGAGAGAAACTTTTCTTTTCCATCTTCATCATCTTTTTTGTCCAACAGTCCAAGTTGCTTACAATTAAAAGTAAACCCTTTTCTGGTCCCCTGTTAACACTGTAAATGGAAACACGATCCAAGTTGATCAAGTAAACAAGCAATTTGAGGTTAAATAAATTGCAATTAAAATTAAAAGAAAAGCAAATGGAACCGGTTTCGGGATAAATTGCGCTTTTCGGGCAAAAGAAACATTTCCCTTGAACAATTTAAAGCAAACCATTTTGAATGCTTAAAGGCATTCAAACCTTTTTGCCTGTTAACAAAGTTTTAATTGTGTTGTAAGAAATAGCAACTCAACTGATTGATGGGATCATTTGTCATCACCTTTAACAAAATTGTATATTATTCAACTGTTGAAAGGGTAAAGGAAAAGGTAAATGTAAATGGTTTATAATAAGGACAATCAATTGAAATTCATCTTACATCAATTATTGGAACCATTAGAAGAAGAAAAGGAAAGAAAAAGAAGAAAATGTTTCAAATCGATTTAGATGGTAAATGGTCACATTACCTGTGCCCATTAAAGGTGTGTTTATCAACCAGTGTTAATCCGTTGAAAAGAAATGAGCGTCAATTTGTTACGTTTCCGGTAACGACTATTATTATCACAGGTAAGGTCAAATTGAGCCTCGAGTAAACAAGAAAAGTGTTTGTCAAATGAGATCAAAAGGAAAGGATAATTTTATTTTTGCATAAAAAAAGGCGACATTTTAAATGGTCTTCAATGGACAGTACAATGGATGACAACAATGGGTACACACTTTTAGTCGTCACAAAACTATTCAATTGTAATTTAAAGCCATTTCAAGAAAAGCAATTTGTATCTCTTGCGCTTCTCTTAACACTTGCTCAGCGCTTAGTGGCACTATTAGAGCAATTGTTGTTTGAAAATTTGTTTCGGTTCATTGAATGAGATGACAATTTGAGAAAAATTGATTTAGAGATTCGTCGAAATGGAAATTCACAACATTTGCATTGGCACATTGAACGTGTCAATGTTGTTGAAGCTGATGCAAGTTGCTCTTCAAGTGGAAAGTCAAACGAAAGTAAATATTATTTTTTCAGATTCAAACCAATAACACTTTGCTTTCAAGTGAATTTAAACCCTTTTAATCCTTTTTCTGGTCAAACCCAAAGAAAATTTTTCCAATTTCGATCTTCTTTTTACTTTTCTTTTCTTTTCAATTTTTTTGAATCTTCATTCAGCATCTTCATTGTGGCATAATTTAACCAACTCGCCAAGTAGAAATGTTTAAAATCGCACAAAATCTGAGTAAAAATGAAACTCTTCATTACCCTCAACACAGTTGTTGATGACAATATAATTACATTGTTGTTGTTTTCCGCATCAAATGATTAGAAAATGAAAATTTGCTCAATTTTTTTCTGGTGAAACATTGAATACTCAACAGACTAATGGTTGATCATTAAGATGATGAGAGTAAAAGAAAAGCCAAAAATGGAAAAAAGTTTCACAACTTTAATGCCATTGTGAGCATATTTTAACACTAGTTTAGGAAAAAAAAATTGAACCAAAAAATGGATTGAAAGATGAAAATCTTGGAACAACTTTTTTCTCTTCTCCTCCGTTTCTTCATCTTGTTATATTTTCCCTGTTTTTTTTCTTGGTGTATTAACAGTCTAACTGCAGGATGCTGAGCATTTACTTGCAGATAAATTTATCATAAATCATTGTAGCAATAAATTTGGAACATCATTTATCAAAGAGTTTACCATTAATCTTATTAAAAATACAGTTGAAGAGGAAAAGAGAGAAAAGAAATTTATCCAAGAAGAAGAATGAATTGGGTGAAAAAAGCGAAGAAAACGTCGAAAGTTGAGATAAGAATTTTAGCAACCAGAACTTGTCCTTGTATAAATGATGATTATTTTCTCGATTCAGATTTTCTTCATGTTGTTCATCTCTTTTTTACTCTCTCCTTATTTAGCATCTTTTATCCATTGTTTGTTTCATTTCAAATCAACTGGATAATGCGATAAAGTGGTAAAGATGAAAAATGGTGACAAACTTTTCATTTACTCAACCAATGATGATGATAATGTTATTGTTACCTTGATAAAGAACACAAGATAAATTGAATAATTCACCATTTCTTTCATGATAATCAATTCTTGTCATCATTAATCTAACTTAACTTTACAATCAAATGAAAATTTGATGAATAATGAAGAAAGTTATCAAATGTAAAACTGTCACAAAGGGTTCCAAATGTTGAACAAAAAAAAAACTTTTCTTTTCTCTCTGAATTTCTGTTCAAGTTCAAGGTAATGACAGGTAACAATTTTGACTTTTCAATTTTGCAACTTTTCAGATTTTCTGACAATTGATTTTCTTCTTTTATCAAAATTTATTGATTTATTGAAACTGTTCAAGAGTTTCATTATTTCATCATGAATAATGGCCATTGGATAATGGATGGGAAACGACAAGAGAGCAAAACATTGTAACTTTATTATCATTATTACTGAAGATGCTGAGACTGGGAATGAATTATGGATGAAAGATGAATGAAGGCAACGACAAGAAATGGTTATTAATTTTCTTTCGAACGTTAATTCCAATGCGAAATTCCCT